TGCATATCAGAATTTTCACTCCCAGGATGGTGTGGACAAGTCATGAAGTTAACTATAAAGTTGATTTATCACCCTTGGCATACTTACTTCTCTCCCAGTTGTCCTCTATCTAGTCCATCCAGTGGCATTTTGAGTTTTGAAACTTACTTTTGAATATACCCAGAAGGAATCTAGAAAGTGGAGTTGGGGAAGTCTTGGTGTGCTTCAGAGCGCACCAGCTAAGGTGAGCCTCAGAGCTGTTGCATTTATCATAATAGGAACCCTCTGCATTTTCCCCAAATGGTAAATTAACACCCTTATAAGATTTAAAAGGCAAGAAAAAACTCAGCAGAATTAAGTTCTTCACCTCTCTCTCTCCTAATTCCTATTAAAAGGGTACTAAAACCTCTAAAATTTGCATTTCACTATTTTTCATACTGTTTCCTGGTTGGAGCTTAAAAAGCAAGTATTTGGTATTGTTAAAACTTATGAGAGATCTTCTGTAAGCTTAGAATTATTTATCAGAACACTTTTCTTAAAGAGCGTCCCTTCAGTATCGGCTGTTGCTGTGAAGATTCCTTTTCTTTCCCATTTGTATTGTATTGCAGCTGGTAAACTTACCTTATGTGTGTTGAATTAAGTGTAAAATAAGACATCAGTCTCTGGTCTTTGGCTTCATAATCTCATTAGGGTAGATTAGAATTGGCCCTTAGTATCTTTGGGATACAGTGGTTTCCTCTCCCTTTTCTTGTCTCAACACTAAGGTTGCATTCTCCGTCCTTTCATTAAGTTGATCATTAGATTTATATGAAATTTACAGCTTTAAAGTAGAAGAAACCCAACAAATCAATCAAAACAAATATGTAGAATTAATTGTTAAACATTCACTTTTTATTGTCTGTGTTATGACATTTTGTTCATATAATTATTTCTCATGGCTTTTGCTGATTTAGGTATTAACTTTAATGTTTTTAACTTCAGAAGATTGAATTAAATTGAATAGAAAAGTAATTTTAGCATGATGGATTGTCTTTAACTGTTAATAGTATTTTAAAAATTTGTGGCTATCTGGCTGACAGTAGCCAAAGAAATAATGTCAAAGTGCTTTATAAAACGTGAAGTGCTATACAAATGACAGCTTTTTAAAGAAGTTTAATCAACACATTTATTGGGTACCTACTATTCTATTCTAGATGCTTAGGATACAATGATGAATAAAGACAGTAGAACTCCTAACAGCCTATTTTTATTTTTAAAAACAAGCTTACTGAGATATAATTCACATACCATAAAATTCACTCTTTTGGGGCCAGCTCAGTCGTGCAGCAGTTAAGTTTACACGCTCTGCTTCTGCAGCCCAGGGTTCGCTAGTTTGAATCTGGGTGTGGGTCTATGCATCGCTTGTCAAGCCATGCTGTGGCAGGCGTCCCACGTATAAAATAAAGGAGGATGGGCATGGATGTTAGCTCAGGGCCAATCTTCCTCAGCAAAAAGAGGAGGATTGGCAGAGGATGTTAGCTCAGAGCTAATCTTCCTCAAGAAAAAAAAATTCACTCTTTTAAAGTGTACTATATGATGGCTTTTAGTGTATTTACAGAGTTTTGCAACCATCACCACTATCTAATTTTAGAAGACAAATGAGCTTTTAATCAGCATTTTAGGTCTTTCCTGGTTTTTGGCTTTATCTCAAGGCTTACTTTTCTTCTGGTTTCCCCAAACATATGCTTAACGGTGAGATAGTATGGGATCCGCTCTCATCTGTAACTATTCATCGATTGGGAAGCAGCTGGTATTTGCTTCCTTCTATTAAAACATAGTGCTGAGTGAGGTGATACCTATGAGAGTAGATGCAAAAGTCCCAAATAGTTTAATAGCTGACAGTGTCATTTGAACAAACAAAATAGATCGTTCTGGAGGAATCATTTAATATTGCACAAATGCGGGACTACGCAAGAAGTATTCTAAAGAATCATCAGGTTTGTTGACATAACAGAAATTCCAAATTTAAAATTAAGTTGTGCCACGCCCACCCACCACCTTCTCAAATATATAAAGTAACTTGGTTTCAGAGATGTTTTGTCCTTAGTTTCCCTCCGGAGATTAAGTAGGCTTTTTGCTGCCTTTTTTTTTTTTTTTTTAACATGAATGGGTCTATATATTTTGTGAAAATACTTCACGTTAATCTGTGGGCTCCCCAGAGCGCCACATGGTTAAACACCAGCCATGCTTAACTGTAAACAAAGCCCCAAATGAAGCCCCCGTGTATTCGCTGCAGATTCCCGGGTGCCTCTCAAGGTGAGAATAAGCTCAGAAAAGGTGTAATAGGTTATTAAGTAATCATCCCTTAAAACGTCCATGCACTACTTGTGTGCTGCGTCAGGACAAGTGTCTGCCACCTTACTGCCTTTAGCCCTGCCTTGGAAGAGAACGAACCCTGGGAGGTCGATCCCTCGCAGATGTTTAGGCAGAAAAATTTTGTCAGGACAAACACAAGGACACAGAGCTATGTAAAGGATTATCAATCAGACGACATCAGGCTATTTTATTTTCCCTGATGTCTAAGAATATTCCTCAGACCGCAGAAAGGAACATCTTGTGGGGACTGCTGGGTAGGTTTTGCCAAGATCCCCAGCAATAGAAAAGGATCGTACACAATAGCTGCTGATGAAAAGGAAAGCCTCTAGCCCAAGCCTTCCTTAACAGCTTGCCAGCCTGATAGTTGGCACAAACTGGCTTCTTCGTCAAATCCAGCCTCAGTGAGTGTAGTTCATATCTTGGAGATGATCTGAATGCCATATAGTTTGATGGCATGTCTGTTTGGGGGAAGAGAAGGGGATTGTGAGGGTAGAGATAGGAATCTATCTGTTGTAATAGGATTTGGGCTGTGTATTAATGAAACGAACTGGCCTTTCTTGCTCTGCTTCCTTTGTCCTTGCTGAGAAGGGAGGCTGGAGTTTTCTAGAGCTATTGGTGAAGCTGGCGGCTGTAAGAGGAACTGTGGACTTTTGACCTTCTTCTTGGTCCTGGAGACTGTTAGGGGAGAGCCCACAGGTTGGTGCAAGGACTGGAAAGGGTTATATTACATTTTTGCCTCCAAACAGGAATATACAAATTAAAGCAATAACTTCCACTTTCTTAGCACTTTTTTCTTTAAAGTTTCTATGCTCCTGTGTCATTTGACATTGTTTTTTCCACAGCAACACATGACCATTTGCTTTAGGAGGCCATTTTCTTTTCTGTTGTCATTAAATTGAAAAAGTCTGCCTCATTTCACGGGCCTCACTGTACCTTTTCCTGCTATATATAGAGTAACTTCCTCTTCTTCTTCTCAAAAAAATCAAATTCCCAGGTATTTCATTTAACGAAAATAATTAACTTAATCAATTAAGAATATTTTGTTTTCCTGTTTTAACAATTCTTAAATTGGAGTAACTGTTAGTTTAGACTAAATGATCGAAATGCATCAGTGGCTTTCCGCCCCACCCCATCTCCCTGTGCTCGCCTCCCTCACCAACAAAACATTAAAGAAAAACACTTGATGAACAATAGCCCCTGTTTAAAAGGAAAGCTTCACTATTGAGCTAATTATTTGCTAATAAAATCTTTTTAAAAACAAATTGTAATGTAAATCCTCTGTCTATATTTCAGGATATCTCAATCTCAAACACACACAAAGCCTGACTATTTGGTTATTTCTCTGAGTAACTTGCTCATAAATACTTGCTCTGGCAGCCTAGCCAGAACTGGAATGGAATGGGGTCAGGCAAGAGAGCATCCCAAGACAAATATTGAAGTTTTTGTTTTACTCATAGATTTGAGTGTGTTTCTGAAAGAACTTTAAACGGATGGTTATCTATGATTTTAACTTCTAAAACTAGGGGCACAAATCTAACTGGTATTAATAATTTTCTCTTATTGATGCTTTATATAATGCCTTTGTGATAATTTGTAGTTAGACCCTTACACACACACACACACCCCTCCCTCTGGATTTGGCCATTGGGGTTTAGTTTCTATAATAATTGCCTTTTCATCACCTCTCTTGGTCCAGATGTTCTGGTGAAGCTGACCCTTAGTTTCGATATTCTAAATTACTTTTAAGGTGCAGACTTCCTACTGCCTGCTACATTTTTGCTACATCTAGCCCTTGAGCTTCCTTGCTTGATGTCGAGTTGTTTTTTGGTTTTTTTTTTTGATCACAAGCATCACAGTTTATCTCACTCTACATTTCTTAGACATCTACCTCCCAGTGTTCCTGCTCTCAGGCACAGAAGCCTCATGGAAGAGCTCCAGAAACCTCTAACGACTGAGGGGCAGACCAGTGGGCAGGCAACATGAGCTCGTTCTTAATTTGTCTTAAAGATTTATGAAATTATAATTCTTAAATTCTAACCCTGGATTTTTGTGAATTTTACATCCTCCTTTCTGTAGTTTCAGTTCAGGGCCGACTTGCCTGCTTTAGAACTTCCCATTTATCACAGAAGAAATCCCCTCCAATCTCCCATAGGGCAAAGTAGGTCCATATTGAGCTACTTGTGTGCTTAGTATCAAATAGTGCTCATGGTAAATGCACGTAACTTCCCCAGAGGGGAATCACATTAATGCAAAGGTGCAAAATAAAAGGGAGTGCTTTAGATTACATTTTAGGGTGTGTCCTTCACTGTGCATGATTCTCATCATTTTGTAGCATTGTGAGGAGAGTTTGTTATATTTTCTGCTTAAGAACTTGATTTTTAAAAAGTGCCTCCCTCCACCCCGGTTTTAGAAGGAGTGTTTGCCAGGAGGGTAGGGGGAGGTGGGGAGAGGCCTTGTTAAATAGTTGAGGTGTTCTGTGTCTCCTCTACACTTGGCGTGCTCGTGCCAGCAATGGAGGTGCGTCCAGGAGGCCTTCTTCAGAGCTCTCCTGTCTGGCTTGGTCCTGTAATACCGCGTTGCCGGGGGCGGGGTGGAGCAGAGAGCTCTCTCTAATGGTTTCTTGTTATAGCTCTCACAAAGCCGTGTCAATTCCCTTGGCTTTACAGACTATTGCCCAGAAGAAAAGATGTTTGGTTTTCACAAGCCAAAGATGTACCGAAGTATAGAGGGCTGCTGTATTTGCAGAGCGAAGTCCTCCAGTTCTCGATTCACTGATAGTAAACGCTATGAAAAGGACTTCCAGAGCTGCTTTGGGTAAGATCATCTGATGTTTGTACCGTGCTTAGAGTGAAAAAGATCACAGCATAGGGAAATATTTCCAAGCAAGGTGCCAACAAATAGTTGGATAAAACAAAATACTTAACGTTGAACCATTTCCCATGTTAGAAATTAATTTCACCACTTTATCAAAACATTTGTTGATCATATATTTTTAATCCTGGGCTTCGTAGTTACTTTGAAGGTTGTCAAAAAGGGTCTCAACCAACATTGCCTTTTTAAATTACATTTTTCTCGTAATGTCTTCATTTCCAATTGTATACATAATAAATATTATCAGTGTTTTATCTGTATGTATTTATAATACAGAAAAAATGTAGTAAGTGAAAGTTCCTTAGAGATACAATTAAAAAACGGCTTGGCAACTAGTCCTATAGATTTTTTCCCCTCTTATGCAGATATAATCATTTTTTTAAAATTAGTGTCTCTGTTTGTTGTGCAGCTAGAATATCATGGCACATTATTTTACTTAAAGGGTGGCACTTTGTTCCTTGTGAAGTATCTACACATTTCAAGAAAGATTAATTGGACAGCGTTGTTTAAAACATGGTGAACGAGATCTCCTCTAGGTTGTAAATTTTACTATTCAATTTTAAAAACATTCTTTATTTTAAAATGACCAAATTGAAGTACCTAAAACTGATTCATTAGCTCTAGAAGTTAATTGTATTTCTGAAATATACTACAGAAATAGTGAAACGGGATCATCCAGGATGATTAAAAATAGCATCTATAAACTATAAATGGAGAATTTTTTTCTGAGAGAAATGTACTTGCATCAATTCTTTAATGTAGAGGAGGCTAATAAAGGTTTGATTGTTTTCTTATCAGGTTGCATGAGACTCGCTCAGGAGACATCTGCAATGCCTGTGTGCTGCTCGTGAAAAGATGGAAGAAATTGCCAGCAGGATCGAAAAAAAACTGGAATCATGTTAGTTTATCTTTCGTCTTTCTCGATTATATTTAGAGTAACATTAGTTTCCCCCCTAATTTAGGAAGTAATATGTCCCTAGGGTGGAAAAGTCTGAAAAGAGTAAGGAAAAACACTAGTTGTGCTCAGATAGAATCACTTAACATTTTAGCGTGTTTGGAAAGCAAAATAGCTTGGTGTGGCATTTTCCCAAGGCGGTATCCAACATACCCATTTTGGAGATTCACAGTGTACATTTCACATACTTTTAGGTTTAACCCAGAAATTCCTAGAGTCAGTTAGATGTGGATCGTTTTTCCATCCTTTTTAGGATGACATTTATCCTAACTTATGTTGGTACTAATGAGCACATAGTCTTAGAATCAGAACTGGGTTTGAATCCTGCCTTCACCACTTACTGGTTGTGAACCTTGGGCAAGTTAGATTTATTCATAAAGTGCAAAGATAACAGCTATCTCATAGAGCTGTCGTGAAAACGGAGCAAGATGGTACATATAAAATGTAACACATGGTAATTGGTCAATTAGATGGAAGCTACTGTTATTCTCTATATGTAAATCTAGTTGAGATCAAACTGGTACGTGAATGTGCGTTCTGTGTGCCCTTTCATTTTAAAATGTCGCTAGAATTCTTCATAAAATATTCCAAGACCAGAACAACACTGTTAAGTTTTATTTAATTCTTCTGTATGCTAGCTGTTAGAAGATTTATGACATTTATACCAAGTATTTGTTTTTAAACAGGCAGGTGTTTATTCTTTACTTTTTTTCCTACAGTAGCCTTACACTGTCCTTTGGTGACAAGGTTACATTATTATGATAGGTTTTGTGGGTCTGTTAACTTACAAAAAAGTGAGTTTTTCTTTTTATTAGTAGCTTATCTGGAGGAGATTCAAATTGTGATTTTGAAGGTGATAACAACCTTTTTGTAGAAGGGTAGAAGTCTGCAAATAGTACATGTGAATGAATGCTTAACAACTGGCACCATACTGGGCTAGACCAATGGCCATGCTGGACTGTGGGAGAACATGCCATTGTCATCAATAACTGACCTCGGGGATTAAGCGTGTGTAGTGAAAAGAACATAAAGCATAGGTCTGAAAACCTTGATCTGAGTCTTGTCCCCTTCCGCACCTTGACCCTTGCCCATTTTCTAGCTTAGTGAATGAGGCAAAATAGATAATTTCTCTTGTTTTCCTTCACCCTAAAATTGGAGTAGCAAAAATAGTTCCCTTACTGCTTTGTGGTGAAGGTAAAAGTATGTAAAAGCTTTTTGTAAACTGCCAGATGTCATGCTGTAGAAATGTTAGTAGTTAGGCTTGATTTTTCTTTACCTACTTGAGTCGTTCTCACCATGTATAAATCTCTTTAAATTTTTTGTCCAGCAGACTCCCGCTATTACCTACTTCAAAGGAAAAAAAACCCCACTAGATAACTACTTATTCTTTAATACTGTGTGGTGATGAAAAGTGCTCATGAGCTCTCCAACACTGAGTAGACAACTGTGGTTCTCAGATTTGACTCCTTCCAATAGGCATTCATCTGAACCAAAGGGGAATACAGAGGTGTCATTTTTTAAAAGGTATTAAATATTCAGTATTTTCTTCCAGGTGGTAGATGCAAGAGCAGGACCCAGTCTAAAGACTACATTGAAACCAAAGAAAGTGAAAACTCTGTCTGGAAACAGGATAAAAAGCAACCAGATCAGTAAACTACAGAAGGAATTTAAACGTCACAGTAAGTTTGATATTGAAACATGAGTACTTGAGGAGAGTTGTTTTGTTTTTATTTTTGTCTGGGGCTGCCATATGGTGTGGATGGATCTTTTCTTTTTTTTTTTTTTTTAAGGCGTGTTAGAAGGCAGTGTTGGCTTGGTAGAGATATTTTATTTCTATGAAATCTTGGAACTGTCTCTTTGATTTTAATGTCATAAAAGTACCTTCCCTAGCTAGCTACTTCTTCAAGTTATGCTGAGACCACTCTGCTCTCTTTATTGACATCTTAATTTTCTAGAAGCTGGATTTTTTTCGGTCTTGTTCACTTGATTTTTATGCATAAGAAATTGAGGCCTGGAGATATGCAGAAAGGTAAATAATTAGTGGACCACCTGAGACCAAAGCCCAGGTTTTCTGGAATGTAACTTGAGGAATCGTAAGTCACATATTACAGTAAAGCTAGCATCAGGACTTCCGGGGTTGGGGGTGGTGGGTGTTGGGTGATGAACAGGAAAGTAACGACAAATTAATGTCAGGTTCATATACTCTTATAGGAAGTCATTGTTGGGGAGGAGGACGTCTGTAGTGGTCCTTCTGTATTTGGGACTTTAGAGTCCAGATTTTGAAAAGGAAATGCAGTGCCTCTAATGTTATGTTACATTTGCATCACCCCTGGGGGGCTCTGAGGCAGCACTGTTGAATCAAACACGTTACTATTTCTGCAGCAAAAATGTAGGAAAATTCACATAGGTGGAATAAATAAACTCTTAATAGGCTGTCAGGGTTGGCTACCTAATTGTAGTTCAGGTTAGGCCAGATTTTGTGGCCAAATCTGGTCGTTTTTTCAGAATTGTAGATATGGGTTGTGGACCTGTTTTGGAGTTTTCAGGATTAAAAAAAGAAAAAAAAAAGTTGTAGGATCCCATTAGAATATTATCAGTGCCTTTTTTAGAATAATGGAAAAAGACAGTTAAATTTACTGATCAGGTGGAGTGAGGAAGGAAGGAGCACGATCATCACTTCTTGAGCATTTTGGTCTATGTACCAAGCACTTTACATACATAATTATCTCAATGATTTCTATTTTTGAGATTAGGATAGGAAGTACGGCATGGTGATTTAACCGTGACCCAGGTCACTTAGTAAGTGGTAGAGATGAATTTGACCTCTGGTTTGTCTAACTTCAAAGCCCGGTGCTCTTTCTACAATACCACCCTGTTCTCTGGGGTGGGATAACCAATTCCCCAGGACTCTGAAGTCCTTCCAGATCTGCTACTGACTTTGTGCTGTCGAGTAAATGGGTGTTACCAGAGTCCATAGTTAGTTAATCTTTGGCTAAAATATTTGAATACATTTACAGTAAAATATTTAGGTAACATCAAATATGTGTGTATTTTAATTATACATGTTCCTTTCTTAATCAGCTATCACTAAGGGGGAAAAAAAGACTAACGTTAACTCTACCCTCCATTCTCACTAGGTATTTTAATGAATATTTGGGAAATAGTAATTTTGTTCTACCACTTGAAGGTTAGAGGAATTGATTATTCATATGTTTATTCTTAGCTCCTCCCTTTAATTATAGGGAAAGTGATAGCTGACTAACTTTTGCCTTACCTAAGGGAATATATCCAGTGTAATTTTAGATTTTTATGATAAAGCTGTGCTGTGGAGGGGTTGGAGACTGAAAATAAGTCCCTTTGAAAAGGAGTGTGGGTTTTGGAGGCTCAGAGTGAAACAAGGGTTTTCCCAGGTGCATTGTGAATAGCTAGCACCTGTGTGTAACTTCACAGTTTTGAGAGACTTGAATTTTTATCCATCACCCACTTGATGGTTTCCCTGCGTCCAGCACGTGCCTTTATCCCTCTTGCTGAGACATTCCTTCCTTTGTGGTGTTCTAGAAAGGCAGTGAACCTGGGGCTTGAAGATCTGGATTTGAGTTACAGTCCTTGACACTTAGAAATATGTGACCCTTGTGTCACTTAATATTTAACCACAATTTCCTAATCAGAGAAATGGGGATAATCAAGTCAAAAGGGGTTTTGTAAAACAAAACAAAGCATTCCTATATAAATGTTAGCTGTTTTTGTCCTGCTTCTTCCTAAGATCTGCAATGATTTCTGGTTGCTCTAGAATAAAGTTGAAAATCCCTAGCAAGTCTTTGGAGGTCCTATTTTAGGCAAAGAATATTCGGGCTGAGTCAGTTCCCTTCGTGTACATAGTGCGTTCTGCTTCCACGACTCTGCTCGTTGTCCCTACCTGCCCCATGCTATCTAATTATCCTTTGTGCCTGTCCAAATCCTACCTAATTTTTAAGATTTTAAGAATTACAGTTCTTGAAAGGATTTTCCAGACCTACATTCTACAGGAGAGTTTTTCTTCATAACTGCATTTGTATATAGATAGTTGTACCCCAAGTATCAGGTTAAACCATATGGAATTGTCATTTTTATAGGCAGAAAATGGTCAAATAACTGCAATTTCAAATGGCTCATAGATTTTATTAAGCACTTTCTAGGTTCGTGAGTTTTCTTCAGCAGCATAGAGCTGACTGCTCCTGCCGTTAATTATTTGGGCAGTCTTTTAAACATTTAAAGCCTGCTGCTCGTGAGGATTTTGTTTGTTTTTTATGAAGTTAAGCTATTCATATATTAGAAGTAAATGAACATATTAAAAACACTAATGGTGCTCTCTTTGTTTTAGATAACTAATTTTATTCGATTTTAACTTTTTTTTTTTAAAAGATTTTATTTTTCCTTTTTCTCCCCAAAGCCCCCTGGTACATAGTTGTATATTTTAGTTGTGGGTTCTTCTAGTTGTGGCATGTGGGATGCCGCCTCAGCCTGGCTTGACGAGCGGTGCCATGTCTGCGCCCAGGATCTGAACCAGCAAAACCCCGGGCCCTGGAAGCAGAGCGCGAGAACTTAACCACTCAGCCACAGGCCAGCACCCGATTTTAACTTTTGTTAATACAAAACACTTGTGAGCTCTATGCAAAAACATTTTCTTTAGTCTGTTCCCTCTCATGCAGGATATGACAGAGGATTTGATGTCTGGTAGATAGTAAATATTTGATTGGTTTTTTGAATTGGAGGATTGCTCTCTCCACCTATCCTGGGGTGGGGGACAGTCTTTAGCTAAAAGCAAGATGTATATTAGGCTCAACTCCTATTTGTGATGTTGCTGTCTCTGTGGAATAGCAATATAATAGCCTTACAGCGCAGTGTCTATCCACCAAAAGATTTCTTTTCTGGCTTGTAAATTTATATGAAGTCTTCTGAGGACAAAAGTGCTAAATCATGTTTAGCTTGTATTCGACGAAATTGCTTTTATTCCTTATTAAATCAGAATCTGCTGTTTTCCCTTTATGGGTAAGATGTCATTTTTCTTTGGTTGCTTTCAAGATTTTTTTCTTTGTCTTTAGTTTACAGAAGTTTAATTATGATGTGTCTTAGCATTGATTTCTTTGAGTAAGTCCTGTCTGGGGTTTGCTTAGCTTGTTGAATCTACAGGTTTATGTCTCCTGCCAAATTTGGCAAGTTTTCAGCCATTATGTTTCTTTGAGTACATTTTCACCTCCGCCCTCTCTCCTCTCCTTCCAGGACTGCAATGACACGAATGTAGGTTTTTGTTTGGTCCCCCAGGTCTCTAAGGCTCTGTTCGTTTGTTTTCTCTCTGTTGTTCAGGTTGGGTAATTTCTGTTGTTCTTTCTTCCAGTTCACTGACTGTTTCCTCTGTCCCCTCTATTCTGCTGTTGAGCCCGTCCACTGCACTGAGCTTTTGATTTCATTTATTGTATTTTTTCAGTTCGAATTTCAGTTCCACTTGGTTCTTCTGGATACTTTTTATTATTTTTTTACCCGACCTTTTTGCTGAGACTGTGTTTTCATTTGTTTCAAGCGTGTTCAAAATGGCTTGTTGAAGCATTTTTATCATGGCTTACTTTAAAATCTTGGTAAGATAATTCTAACATCTCTGTCATCTTGGTGTTAATCCTTTGCATACAGTTTGGGATCTTCCTGGTTCTGGATATGATGAGATTTTTGGTTGAAACCTAGACATTTTTAAATTATATTATGAGACTCAGGATCTTATTTAAACCTTCTATTCTAACTGGCTTTTTTGACACCCCTCCAGCAGAGGAAGTGGGGGAGGGGCACTACCTTGTTACTACCGGGTGGTGTTGAAAATCAGGTTCCCCACCCACCCTCCATTGACATGTTGCTGCTGGGTAGGAGTTAAGGCTCCCATATGGTGGGGGTGCTCTCGTTCCTGGTGGGCCATGGTGAAATTCCTGACTCTTCGGTAGGCTTACTCTGACACCACCGTGGCGGAAGTGCTGGGGCAGCCTCATAGAATGGCAGTCTAGGCTCCCCACTTGGCCTTTGCTGGGGTGAGGGCCTGTTTTTTTCCTGGTGTTTGGCTGGACTAGAGTGGTTATTGTCTAATAAAAGTTTCCTGTCTTGCTAGGCTGCTCCTTTCCTGGTCCTTTGGTTAGAGAGAACAGACTTTTGTTGGCTTTTTCTTTTTTTAAATTTTTTTTTTATCATCTGCACCCATTGGCATTTCTCAGTTGCTGGCTTCTTGAGCTCCAAGACTGGGATTTATGAGGCAAAAAGAAAACCCATAAAAACTGAGGGACTCACCACCACGTCCTTCCTTGGGTTTTGAGCTCCCTAGCTGTTGCCAACTTTCAGAGTCTTTAGGTTTGTTTTATATGTAATGTCCAGGGTTTTTAGTTGTGCTTCTTGAAGCAGGAAGAGTGGGGACAATATGTCTGCTCTTGTCTTCCTGGAAGCCTAAGTCCTCATTTTCTTTTAGAAGCACTTTAGTACAGATGTCTTCAGATAACAATAGTGAATAGGAAATAAATTCTTTTCTTCTTTTTCCTAACTCATTCACAGTCTTTTATGCTGAGGCTTGGTTGCAGTTGCATATAATGAAAATATACATTTTTTTCTCTTGTCTTTCTTGCAGATTCTGATGCTCACAGTACCACCTCAAGTGCCTCCCCCGCTCAGTCTCCTTGTTACAGTAACCAGTCAGATGATGGCTCTGATACAGAGATGGCTTCTGGCTCTAACAGAACACCAGTTTTTTCCTTTTTAGATCTCACATACTGGAAAAGGTAAAAGCAACAGAAAAATGTCTCTCTAACCAGCAAACCTTCTTAATTACAGGCAATGGGTTCCCACTTCCTTAGCAATTAAATGGCATTTGGCAAACAGCTGGTAGCACACATGGTTGGAGGTGGATTAAGCAAAAATTGAGCTGAGAGTTGAGATCTTGTCTGCTTTTCCTATTAAAATTGATTCAAAATAAAAATCATGTTAGAGAACCTAAATTTCCTATAATGGAGTAGACTAGGTAGTCATTCAGACCAACTCTCTCACTGAAAAAAAGTAAGAGGGCTAGACTTTAAAATGGCATTAATAAGTGGTTAATAAGGAATAATCAGAGGTTAAATTCTAAGTAAATGTAGGACCCTCGGAGTCAAAAAAGAGGTAGGAGAAAAAAGAAAAATTTCAAAGGGAAAGTGGTTAAGGATTTTCTAGTTCACAGATTCAGGAAGAATAACAAATTAAAAAGCAAGATAATAAGCAGTTATCTCATGGGTGAAGAAAATTCACCCACAGACACTTCATACTGAAACTACAAACAAAAAGACAAAATAGATCTTGAAGCAGTGAGAAAATAAAGATTATTTTCAGAGGAACAACAAACACCCAAAGCTGAGTTCTCACCGTGAACAAAGGAAGCCAGAAAACAATAGATTAATATCTTCTGTGGGCCAAGAGATAATAACTCTCGACCTAGCATTATATATATGTAGCAAAAATATCTTTTGTGAACGAGGGCTTAAGACTAGAAAAAAAAATTGAGAGTTTGCTGCCAAGCTGACTCCAATAAATGAAAATTCTACAGGCAGAAAAAAGAGATCCCAGATTAAAATTCTGGGAATGATAAATAAAGTAGCAAATATTTAGGCAAATTTAAACAAACACTAACTGCTTAAAATGACAATACTTGTGGGAGTTAAAAAAAAAAGAAAGAATTACATGACAACAATAACATAAGTCAAGGAAATAGAAGTGGTAGGTAAAGTGTCCTGGTATCCTTTGCATTGTGAGAATAAATATATTGAATAACGGTAGAATTTTGTTAATTAACAATGTAACCACTAAAAGAATAAAAAAGTGTAAAACCTCCAGAGAGAAGGGAAGAGTAGAGAATTTAAAAATAAACCTAGCAAAACAACATGATAATAGAAAACCTCCGTATGTTTGTAAATTAAGAAACCACGGGTCCAAGAAGAAAGTATAATATAAATTAGAGAATCTTTGTAGCTGAAAAATACCGCAAATCGAAACATGTGGTATGAAGTTAAAGAGGTAGATAGAGGAAAAGTTAATTGCCTTCAATGCTTCTTAGAAAAGAAAGACTAAAAATAAACGAAGTGATATGTAGCCAGTTTAAAAATTAATGAAGCCCAATATAAAGAAAAGTAGACACAAGGAAATCCAAAAGATACGACTGGAAGTAAGTGGAATAGAAAACCAGTAGGCAGTGGATAGGATCGGTAAAGCTGAGTGGTTCTTGAAGAAGACCTGACCAAAAAAATGTCTAGAGATAAAGTGGATCAAGAAAAAGATGCTACACGTAAGCATCTTAGGAAAGAAAAGGGACACTTAGCCATAGAGAAAGCAGATATTTAAAAGACAATAGGTACTATAAACAACCATATGCTAGTAAATTTGAACATAGAGGTGAAGTGGACACCGTAGTAGAAAAAGACGGTTTACCAAAACTGTCTCAAGAAATAGAAAACCTGAATGGTCTCATAAAGAAACTGAGTCAGTAATCAAAAGGGGCTGGCCCCATGGCCTAATGGTTAAGTTCTGTGCGCTCCACTTTGGCGGCCCAGGTTTGGTTCCTGGGTGTGGACCTATACCACTCATCGGCTGCCATGCTGTGGTGGCGCTCACGTACAAAACAGAGGAGTATTGGCACAGATGTTAGCTCAGGGCAAATCTTCCTCAGGAAAAAAAAAAATTGATTCAGTCATCAAAAGTTTTCCTTCAAAAAATTCCAGGCCCAGATAGTCAAGTTCTACCAAACATTCCAGAAACAGATGGTTCTAATCTTGCACTGGCTTTTCCAGATTATGGATAAAATAGGGCAGAGACCTCAAGAATTTTATGAGGCTAACATAACTTTGACACCAAAACAGTATATCATGACCAGATTACATTTATTGTAGGGATGTAAGATTGGTTTAAACATTAGAAAATCAGCTAATGGAATTTGCCACATCGATAGTTTCTCAAGGAGGGGGTAAAAATTACGTAACATCTTAGTGGTACACTGAAGATGTTTGATAAATTTGAACACTCCTTGAAGGTTTAAAATAAAACCTTTAGCAAAATAGGAATAGAAGGGAACCACATTGCTAAATAATTGACATTTTCAAGTAAAGTTGACTGTGTTCCCATTCCTACACCCCAGCAACATAGCCTGGAAAAAACCTTTAGACATAGGAACTGATGTGTACAGCATGTTGTTAATAGCAAAAATTGTCAAAAGGAGAGTGGATAAATAAATTATGAAATAATCACATGGTAGAATACTAAGTTAAAATGAAATCTCTATCTAACAATATGTATGAATCTAAATTAATGTTGAGCAAAAAAGTTGCAGCATTACAATATGATTTTATATATGTTTCTATATATATCTGATTTTGTGTGTATATATATGAGATAACTAAAGCAATATGTGTAGGGATGCAAACATATGGTAAAATTAGAGAGGGCCATACAGGGGTAGTTCGTAAGACATGATAATTTTTTTCCTTAGAATATGTGATCTGTAGGTGTTTTTTGTCATTTTTTATGCCTTTATGCATATTTGACAATATATGTATATATATATTTTATCTACTCAGTATTTAATTAAAACAAAACCAGCAGCTGTATCAGCCTGTTTTTCTTCAGAGTTGGTGATTTTGGGAAGAAACAGTTTATTATTTATTTAGGAAGATTAGCACTGAGCTAACTGCTGCCAATCCTCCTCTTTTTACTGAGGAAGACTGGCCCTGAGCTAACATCCATGCCCATCCTCCTCTACTTTATATGTGGGATGCCTACCACTGCATGGCTTGCCAAGTGGTGCCGTGTCCGCATCCAGGATCCGAACCGGCGAAGCCCGGGCCACCAAGAAGCAGACCGTGCGAACTTAACTGCTGCGCCACTGGGCTGCCCTGGGAAGAAACAGTTTATAGCTTTAGGGGCAGCCTCTGAAACTGACTGCTGTCTCTTCAGGATGTCTTCTTCCCCCTTAGTGTTTGAGAAGACTCCAGTGTGGGCTTTAGGGACCTGGGCCCTCCCCATGGCCTGGCTGATTGGGCCCACTCCGGGAGCCCTGCCATTTGTGATGCGATGAGGTGGTGGAAGTAGAACCTTTTGATTATGTTGTACTGGTTACCCATAATGACGAGTCGATTTTCTTTGTTTTTTTGTATTCCTATTTTTCTGCCTTATTAATATATTTCTCCATTTTTTTCTTTTAGACAGAAAATATGTTGTGGGATTATCTATAAAGGCCGTTTTGGGGAAGTCCTCATTGACACACATCTCTTCAAGCCTTGCTGCAGCAACAAGAAAGCAGCCGCCGAGAAGCCGGAGGAGCAGCGCCCCGAGCCTCTGCCCCTGCCCCCTCAGGAGTGGTGACTGAGGTGTATGTAGAAGGGGATCAACGCGAGATTGAAATGTTGGAAAGGAAACAAAGCAACAAAACGACCCTCCTATTTGTAACTCGGATACCCGCTCTTCTGCCAAAAGACAATTTCTAGAATAGTTTCGAATGGGTTATTTTTCCTCCGGTTCCATAAACTCTGACGCCAGTGTCTAGCTTACTAAAAGAAAAAAGTGTACATAATATTTAAGATGCTGAGTATTTCATAGGAAAGCTGAATGCTGCTGTAAAGTGCTCTTTAAGTCTTTTTTTTGTTTGTTTAATCCCCTTCTAATGAATGAAACTAGGGGAATTTCAGGGGACAGAGATGGGATTTGTTGTATGATAAACGTATGTAGTTCTAGTCTTTCTATATTGAGAAGCAGTGGTTGGGGCATTTTTTAAGATGGCTGGTTATACTTATTTTCCTTCATGATAATAAATTTGTCATAACTCAGTAACATGGACTTGCCCCTAGAGGGAGTTGTTAATAATTTTGAAAGATTAAGGTCTTGCCAAGGTTCTGATGATTGAAACCTGTACTACTGAATATTAAGCAGGCCAGACTAAGCTCTCTGGTACAAATACTTTGAAGGAGTACCTTCTAAATAGACAGAAGTAACTTGACTGTATATGTTGTCACCTTCCTCCATATTGATATTTGATAAAGATTTTAATTTATATGAAACTTCTAAGGCAGAATGAAAGCTCCTCTTGGGGAAATGTCAAGTCTTTTGGATAAGCAATCCTGTATGAATAGTACCAAAGCATTACCATATGGTAGAGAACACACTCTATTAAAAATTAAATTATCTGAAGAGTAGAATGTGCAAGTCTTCAGGATGGCACACACACAAAAGGTTAATGCTTCTTGGGGCACATTTCTTAGAGGGCTTGCTGAGTGTGTAAATAATTGACTTTTGTTTGTGTTACATGACTGGTGACTTCACTGAAAATCTGCACAATTCAGTTTTAGCTCTGGATTACTTCAGTTGACCTTTGTGAAGGTTTTATCTCTGTAGAGTGGGTGTTTGAGTTGTTTTAACCTGTTGGGTTTTGGGGTTTTTTTTCACTCTATATTAAAGTAAAATTCTGCTCAAAGGAAAGAGGTGTGTGTTAATGCTGAGTGGGTTGGTTTTGGTTTGGCTTCTTGTAGTCAGGCTTTCTGAACGTTGAGATGTGTTAGAAGATACACCCTGAATGTGGAGCTCTTCAGTTCTAAAATCTTTATTAAAAAGCCTCTTACTTGAACCCAAACCAAAGTACTCTCATTGCCTCTTTTCTAAAAGTTCAGGAAGAGTAGATCACCAGTTCAGAGTTTTCATAGTGAGGGAGGATTGTTTGCCTGCCTTATAGTAACATGACTCAGTGCTTATTTTTAAAACTGGATTTTAAAGATTGGATAGTATAAATAACAATAAGGAGTGAGCCACTTTTTATGGGCACCCTATAGTTTTATAGTTCTTAATCTAAACTTAAAATTTTATATTTCTTCCTTTTGGAGAAAACTACAAGCCACCGTATGCACAGACTACGCAGTGAGTTGGGTCGGCTCTCCCAATGCCTTTGAGGTGTATGTCAAGAGTCCCAGCCATTATCATCTTCCTCCTGAGTTCTTTCGAAATGGTTTTTTTTTTTTTGTACATTTTGGCTGCAGTATTGGTGGTAGAATATACTATAATATGGATCATCTCTACTTCTGTATTTATTTATTTATTACTGGAACTCAACCACAGTCTTCTTTTTCCCCTTCCACCTCTTTGCCTGTAGGATGTACTGTATGTAGTCATGCACTTTGTATTAATATATTAGAAATCTACAGATCTGTTTTGTACTTTTTATACTGTTGGATACATATAATCAAAACTTTTACTAGGGTATTGAATAAATTTAGTCTTATTAGAAAATAAAAGATGCTTTCTGTGGCTTTGTTTGTAAGGTGTACTTAGGTAAGAATAACTAATGTTTTTAGCCTTCACAGATATTCAGTTTAAGCCCTTAGTATTCTAGCAAGCCATGAAGGGAAAAAGTCCTCTTTACTGAGAAATAAAGACTTTAAAATAAAAGACATTTTAACTGACGTGCACAATAATTAACCTAGTGGATAAGATGATTTTAACAGTGAAGGTCAAAATGTCTCCAGCGTTTTTAACGTCTATGATGTGGTTTTATTACTCCTGTCTGTGGGCATAGTGGGAACCATCATTGAGACTCTAGAGAAACTATAAAAGGTGATTATAGGGAAAGATGGGGTCATTGGGGTCAAACCTGGGCTCTCTCAGTGCTGGCTCTGCCCCTGATTAGCCATTTGAGCCACTTGGCTTTTGTGAGCCTGCAAACTTCTGTACAATAGTTTACTTGACAGAATTATTTACTTGACAGAATTATGAGGAATCCAGAGAGGTGTGATCCAAATCAAGGTTTTAAAACCAGATCGTTTATTACCTGGGAAAGGTGGATCCTGTGGGCCAAACTTCTTATACTGCTGTGAGGGTTTACATTTGTGTGGGGATAGTCCAGGTGATTTTGCCAACACCTAGTCTAGTTATTGTGAAGTTACCAGGTTAACCTAGGATAGTATGAAATGACAGCAGCTACATTATCTATTGCTGTGTTAGAAATTACCACGAATTTAGTGGCTCCAAAGAAATGATCTCAGTTTCTGTCTAGGCACAGCTTAGCTGGGTCCTTTGCTCAGGGTCTCTCAAGGTTGCAACAAGCTGTCAGTTGGGGTGCATTTTCCTCAGGAGACTTGAGGATAATCTACTTCCAAACTCAATCAGGTTGTTGGCCGAATTCATCTCCTGAGGCTTTAGGATGGAGAACCCAGACTTCTTTCTGGCTGGAGGGCCCCTCAGTTCCTTGCCACCTGGCGTCTCCCAACATGGCCGCTTCCTGCGTCATGCAGGTCTCCCAAGCTGGTCTGCTAGAGAGGCGTCTTCTCAGGTTCTGCCCACATTCAAGTGAGAGGATTACACAGTGAACACCAAGAAGTGGGGTGTGGGGATCACGAGAGGCGCCTTAGAGTTTTGTCTGCAACTGCACCACATTTTTTTCCTAGCGGAATCGCTTGAAATTGGGCCTCTTTGCCCTACAGTACAAGTGCTCTGTAGCAAATAAAAAGAAAAATGGTTCCCCCATTAGGAAACACCTATTGTGGGCCAGGCACTTTTAGACATGGTTCAAACAACCTTGCAAAGTTAAAAAAATAAGAAAACTTGTTCACAGATGAGTAAGTGGACATGGAAGGAGATCATGTAACCTCAATACAATCAGCTTTCCTGATTCCACAGCCTTTGTTCTCCACCCGGCCCTGTCTCTGCGGTAGCAGTGGAGCTCTTAACCTGCATTTGGGGGTGGATTTACCTGGATCTCTTCTGAAGGCTGGAAATTTTATCCCTGCAGAGAGGTTAGACTCTGTCTGAATCAGTTAATCAAGTTTTGTTTCTTAATTTTGATGTTGAAAGTACATATCGTATACTGTCTTTTGTGGAGAAGATAGTCTCCAGTAGGTTTAGTGAAACGACTGGATATTCTAAAAATAAATGAAAGTAGCCAGAACTAACTGCTTGCTCTGCAGTGAAGAATGGGAGGCACCCAGGGAGCCTCTCGATTCAGAGTCCCTAGAACGGTTTCCTAATGCCCCAGATTCAGCATTGTGATGCCTGGGCCATCATTTTTGTGTGATGTTCAGTGAACTGGGAAGGGAGGAGAAAGCCAAGTTGGATCAAAGATAGATAATTTCACAGGCTCATGTTCTCAGAGAAAGGGATCTGAGGTTCTGTGGAGTTCGGTTACTCATTGTGGTGGTGAGAATGCTTTAGGTTTCAAATGTCTTGCACCCTGGTTAGAAACTGCTGGTTATTGTATGTCGAGTAGGGGTCTTGGACATCCTTAGCTGCGGGCTTCAGTGTAAAAGACCATAAGCTTTCAGTTTAGAGAGACTTTGAAAAGATTTTGTCAAAGCCTGCTCTTTGTCTCAGTGTCTGAAAGGGGGACAATAATTTACTCTTTTGGAACTTCAATTCTCTACACTTCTATAGCTTACATTAGCTTTAACATTGTCCGGGGACTGGTTTTTGTATCTGCAAGGAAGAGTGGTTCTCAAAAATAAAGACTCAAAAATCTCAAGCTTCTTCATCAAGGCACCAGTAGAGTTAAAATAGGAACCTGAACAATTATGTCCTTTTTTTCCTTTTTTTATTTTAAGGTAACGTGTATTCTTGTCCTCCAATCACCTTTACAGTCCACTCCAGCGTTGATTCTGCCCCCACCAGTGCAGGGATCACTCAGGAATGGTTTTCTCTCGGGGATTCGCAAGCCCTCATTTTGCTTGTCCAGCCCCTCAACAGCACTCGATGCAATTCTTTCTTTCTTGAAACACTCTTGACTGATAACACTGCAGTTCCCAGATTTTCCTACTTCAGATGCTCATTGGCCCAGGGTTCGTCTTCAGTCCTACTCCCCAGACCATCCACATTCCCACTGTCCCAAATACCATCCAAAATATGCAGGCATCTCCCAAGTCTCTCTCTAGAACTTTTTGTCGATCAGGGTGCTGGCAATACATGGCTTATTGAAATTGGATAATTCAAGGAAAGCGTGATAAAGGGACTTTTCACAAAGGTGTACACAAGGTGTAGGGAAACCCCAAGGGAGAGTGCAGGACTGGAAACATTGGGGCTGGTGACATCAGGGTGCTGTTACTACCCCCAGGTCTGACAGGTTGAGGAGAGGGGGTGGTTAATGGAACTAGGAGACAGGCTATGTAAATTGTGGGAGACTGGGGGCAACAGCAGGAATAAATATTGCTGTCCCTGCAGACTGACCAACTCCATCATTAGTGCCTTCACACATACTGTTTGTTCCCTCTGACCCACTTCCCCACCATCCTACAGCTAGGCAACACCTGCTTACCCTTCCGGTTTCAGTTTAGGCACCACTTGGGGAAGCCTTCCAGAGCAGCCACTGCCTTCCTCAGCACACACACAGCTATATGTGTATGTGCTAGCTAGGTTCCATGAAAGCAGGAACCGTGTCTTTTTTCATCACAATAGCTCCCGGAGTCTAGCACAGTGGTTATTAGTATATAAGTGGAGCTCAGTAAATATTTATTAATTGATTGATTACAATTTTGTATTTTCAGAAGTCATGTCCATAGAAGAGTTGAATTTATGCTGTCTTGAGGAATTTCAAGAATTTAAAAAATTTTAAATATACAGAAAAGTTGAAAGATTAGTACAATAGTTTACCCTTTCCCAGATCCACCAACTGGTAACATTTTACTGCATGTACTTTGTCTAATTTGTTTTACTGAATCATTCGAAAGTAAGTTGCGATAGTATGACGCTTCATCCCTGAATACTTAAGCATTCATCTCCTGGGAATAAGGATATTCTACATTAAACCGCAGTGCCGTTGCCACACCTGAGATGATCAACAATAACTCAGTAGTATCTAAGATGATCTCTATGAAATAAATTGACCCAAAACGTCTTAAGATTTTTTTCCCTCACCCAGGATCTAGTCAAGGTTCATGCATACATTTGGTTATGTGTCTCGTCTTTTAATAGGGAATAGTCAGTCTTCCTGCCTTTTTTTTTTTTTCATGACATTGAACTTTTTGAAGTATCCAAGTCAGTTGTATACTGTCCCATATCCTGGATTTTTTCTGGTTGTTTCCTTAGTAGATTTGGGTTGCCCTTTTTGTCAGGAATATAACACAGGCTGTGTCATGCGTCTCTTAGTGCATCACAGCAAGAAGCACGTAATGTCAAGTTGCCCCACTGTCTACGGTGGGTCACTTGGTTAAGATCGTGACTGCCAGATCTTTCCACTTGAAAGCACATTTTTTTCCCATTGTAAATGAATACCTGTGGGGTGATAAGGTGAGACCTTTAAAATGTCTTTCATGTATTCACTGACCACCTATATCCAAGACCCTACCAAGTGTTCTGAATAGTCCCTTTACACTTGAGAAATCATGTAATCCTTAAGTCCTTTGAGAATCCTAGCTCACTAAGGTGGTTGTGCTTATTTTTGCCATTTAAATACATTTGATTTTTATTTTCTTGATTTCTCTGTGGTTCTCATTCAGAAGTAAAGACGTAGTGGATAGAGGGTAGGGGGTTATGTTTGGCACATGAGCTTATTAACATCACTAGAGCATAGGTAAACAGTTGAATTAGAAGATCTGAATTCAAATCTTGGTTTGGGTACTTAATGACTTTATGATTTCTGATAAATTTTCTGAGCTGATTTCCACCTCTGCAGACTGGAGGAAATGATAGCAAACAGTTGTAGTAAGAATAAAATGAGAGAAAGTATCACAAAGGGTCCGGCCTGTGATGGGTGCCAGTGACAGGTTTCTGCCATCATTTGCTCTTCCGATCTTTAGCACTGAGGTCTAATTGGATAGGGTAGAAATGAGAACTTTTTTATTCTCTACAAGTATGGTGAACATAGGAAAGGTCTTAAACAGGACACATCAAAGCACCTTCCCCCTAAAAAAAAATCCCTAAAGCTTTCTTAAGTTTCAGTGCTTAAAGGAGAAAATGTACTCACTGCGAGATTATTATGCTTTGGCAGCACACGAATCCCAGGGTTGGGAAATCGTACAGAGGGCATGAAGCGATGCCAGATATAATTAAGCTGCACAAAAGTGTGCTGGAGTCCAGGGAGAGGCCGAGATAGGCTCTCAGGATGGTTTTTGAAGGGTAAAATTTGGCCGTGCGATAACAGTACTATGGAACCAATTCACAAAACGAGCTGAAATAGTACAACATACCTCTTAGCCTCAAGGCCCCAATCTCCAAACAGTTTCAGCCGGGCCTCTTGACTGCTTTGGCCAGCCTGGCCTCCTGGAGCAGCTCCAAGGGAGCGCCGTTTGCATCTTGCGTCGTAGCAGAAATG